GATATTTATGAAATAGCACCAAAAAAGTAGATTCAACATTTTATAAATATATTCAAGATTTTAACAAGAAGAAACTCACACCATAATGTTTTTTGCTATATCATATCCTGATGTAAAATGGTGTAAGCTATGGCACAGTGTTTCAGTAACTAATCCACACACATTAGATCAGCATTTTATGTCTTGGCCTATTTATATAAATTCTAATTGAAGTATGAATAAACTTTTCCTCTTCTTTGCTCCAGTTAGTTCTGTGTATATCAGATGGGGAACTGGAACTCTTTCCTGGAAAAGAAGAAGGAATATGGGGAGAAAAAGAGATTAAATGAACTTTACTTCTAATAGCAAATATCCTTAGTTGGCATTGGGCAGTAGAAGCAAAAAAATAAACATAGAAGATGTTTTTATCACAATTTTTTTTCCTTAGAGGAAAAAATGCAAGGTAATCAAGAGTTACATATCACACATAGCATTAAAATTAAGGAAATGATTATCTTAAGTAGTCCAATGTTATATATAGAATAATATATTTTTCTTTTTCTTCCAGCATCTATATACATGTATATATATATATGCACACCCATAACGTATATATTACATATACACACACACAAGCACACATGCAAAATTTGTGGAACTGATACGGGTATCCTCAAGAATTCTATAGGCAGAAAGGTCTGAACCTGGCTTTCAAAGACAGCTTTGGTCAATCACTTCACCTGCTCGTTTGTCCTAAAGTTTTAGGCTCCATGCAGTATTTATGGAACAGATGCTACTCAATTAGTACAATGCTTTTTTCATTTGAGGGTATTATTTTGGAAAGTGTCAGTTTAGTGCTGAGGGAAATAAAACAGTTTGGCAAGAAGCATCGGGAGACTTGGCTAGAGTTCTTGTATGCATCTCTGAGGCAGAACTTTCTTCAGCAATGCTCTCTTCTTACCTCTTGACAACTTGCACTGAATGATTTTTTTTTTCCTCTTGAACTTTTCATTCTCTTGTGGTTAGACTGAACTGTGTTTTTTGGAGCAGAGGTACACCACCATCTTTTTTCCTTTTCTCTCTCTCTTTTATTTTTTTAAACTATCCTTTTTAAGATCTGGATGGTTCTTGACCCGTGTGCAGAGAGACTTCACATGGTGACTTTCCTCTGGCTAAGTGCATACGTTGTGCTTGAACTTCTGGAAAGCAAAAGTTTATCTGTTTAACCAAGCCTGCAAATCTAATGTGAACTGAATAATCTTTAATCTGTAAAAGTTCAAGCTGAAAATTGTGTAGAAATATCTGTTTCTGACCTGGAGAAAAGCCAAAAATGTTTCACATTAACTTCAGAGCTTCCAAGTTATTTACCAGGAGTCTTGTTAAGCCAGAATAATCCAAAACAGCAAGGTCTCTGGCACCATTCCCTCCATATATTTTAACAGAAATCAATATAAACAAACTGGTTTTCCTCTGGTTTATTCCTTGTTCTTCTCAAGCCCAACCCACTTATTTTATATTTTGGATCATGAATCTAGACAGGCAGAATTTCATTTGATGGAGGTGCTCCCAGCACGGAGAGGAATTCTAGAATTCCACTTAAGAATTTAATGCGTAGAAAACATAGTTGTCTTTGAATTTGCAAGGTATCCTTTTAAGCAGGAGCTAATAAGCGTGGAGGAAGTTGAAAAGTTATCCATCACCTCACTCTTGGCAAGGGCATGCAGAGTATCAAAGGTGTTGGCATTGCTTTGTGGTTTTTGGCAGAGGTGTGGTTTGCAGCATCATAGATGTATCTACAATTTCTACCACAGGTGCCAATAGTAGTTCAGACTTCAGGATGTATGAATAAATATGGAGTCATTTTGTACAGCCCATGGTATAGTAAAACCAAAACTGTCTGACCTAGATAATGTTAGGCTACACTTAATATGGTGCATTTCTACTTTGATTTGGATTGTAAACCTAACTCTTAAAAATAAATAAATAAAACTAAAACTTTAGTAAGTCTTTTGTTGAAGGCAAGATTTAATGGCCTATATTTTTCATTAGGTTTGGCCATAGTATACAATTATTAGATGTAAAGTAGCTAATGTTTCTTTAATTCCAAAAAAAGAAACTGTAGGTTATTTGGAAAAGGAAGATGGATTACTGCAATAGATCTTGAAATAGAGAGACTGTAGAGGAAAAAATCATAGAGCAGAGTTCAGAATGAACAGAATTGCTTTTGGTGCCTGACATACTTCGGTTTTACAAAACTGGTTTAAAAAAACACAACACAACACACACACAAAAACCTTCTGACAGGAAATCAGTCTCATAACTGAACTTAGCATCACAAACATCTCTAACTTCATTGGAAAATTTTTGTCACAAATGTGACTGGAATGCTGTTTTTTTTTTTTGCTTGTTTTCATTACATTTTTTGAGAGTCACTGCTGTCACTGAAGAGAATTTGCATGTTTTTAAGGATATAAAATTTGAATATACTTCTTCAAAAGAAGGATACACAAGCACAGGGTCTTGTTTCCAACAACGATAATAAATTAAATGCCCTGAAAGGACAAAGCACATGTATATGACTCTTTTCCTGAGTGCTGTCTCCATCTCTAATTTTAGTTCAGGTATCTTCTGAACACAGTCTTCTGCCTGTTTTTTTCTGGGAATGAGATTTTTAAAGAATGAATCCTTTGGGCCTCTTGTTATGATGTTATTTCTTTCTTTTTATTGCATGTGTATCAGCTGGTGCTCAAGGGTGAAAGTAACTCTGTAAATGAAAAAGTAAAAGGGCAGGGAATCAATGAACACATAAATTAGAGATAAAATAAAGTACAGAGTACCAGATACTGAAGAGGTTGAGAAAACAAACAGAAAGGGAATGAAATCAAAAACCAAGTATCATGGGAAAATAATGAAATCCTTAGATATAGAGGATATTAAACAGAAGATAAATGATTGCTTAGTGGGTTGAGGGGAATCTTTATTATAATCAACTTTGTCAGACCGGATGATGTGTTCCTGTTTTGAGTAGACTGTAGAATTGATGATAAAGTTTCAAAACAGCAAGCAACTTCAAAGAGCTTTGGGAAAGAGATGCATTAGGGTGTAGGTGAGCTGATGATTCTTGCATTGCTTTTTATTTGCCCAAACTCAAGCAATGGTAAAAACATAGTCTCTCACTTAATTTGAATGTTTTACACCTCTGGAGATCTTTTTAGATTTTTTTGAAACATTAATGTTTGAGTTTTGTTGTAATCAATGATTAAAATATAAAGTAATCATTAGTGTAATTACTGGAAAAAATTAAGCTTTAAGCTCGAGAGATTTAATCTGTCTTTCACTTCCTTATTATCTAATTAAAGTAATCAAGACAAATTTGGTGTCTTTATATTGTTTGTGATCTCTGAGACAGGATCTGTCATCCCCAACTCATTTGCTTAGCCTGCTTCGTAGGCATCATTCGTGGTAGTGGAATCCTATTTCATATCTCTATATGGCTTTTGCACCTATTCACTACACTTTACACCGAACAATTCATGACTCCTAACACTTAGATTTTCCATTCTTGTGATGTGACTGACTATACTCATTCTCGTTAAATTGTTTTATTAAGTTTGAGCAGTATTGTTCAGGGCAGCACTTCCAATACCTGAGAGAAAAGATGTGCTTATAAATGGCCAGTGAAGTTCTTGGAATTATAACTGCTTTTCCTCATTCGCCAAGTCAGAGATAATTCAAGGCACACTCTTACAAGAGCCTTGGATCCCGTAGCCATTCTGTAGACTCCAAGATCTTTGGGTATACTTGTGATTATTCCAGAACTGTTTTTTGTTGTTGTTGTTGTTGTTTGGTTTTTGTATACTCAGGATAATACACGAACTTAAGAACTTCTTTACTGAAAGGGTTGTTAGGCACTGGAACAGGCTGCCCAGGGAGGTGGTAGAGTCACCATCCCTGGAAGTCTTCAAAAGACGTTTAGATGTAGAGCTTAGGGATATGGTTTAGTGGGGACTGTTAGTGTTAGGTTAGAGGTTGGACTCGATGATCTTGAGGTCTCTTCCAACCTAGAAATTCTGTGATTCTGTGATCCTTTACCTGGGAGCCTGCTATATTTCCATTGTTATAGACATTGTTATATGTCTTGCAAGTCTGAAGACTGAAACATGGTAAAGTTCTCTCTATACTGCCTAATGGATCATCCTCTGTTAATAGCTCAAGAGTTTTGATGGAGAGACCTGGTAGTTCTAATCCAAAAGCAATCCCCAAAGTAGTCTATGCATGCAGTGTGGATGATTCAAGCTACAGGACAATGAAATAACAATGAAGGAACAGTCTCAACCTATAGTATAGGTGTACTCATAAGATGAGAAGGTGTTTTCCAAAAGAATTGCTGAAATACAGCTCCTATATCCATCATATTAAATTATTTGTATTTTTGATATCAAATATCATGGACATTTTTGGATATTGCATAATTAAAATAGCACATTCTTTTCTGTAGGTGTTTTTTCTCTTGATGAAAAAGAGGATTAATATTGTGTGCATTATGGCAAAAAATAATGTTCATCTAGTCTAATTACTATCTACTTAAATGTAATTGAAAGCATGTTGATGTTTTAGAGCACTTCCATGAAGCACAAAACTCTCAAAAACATAATATGATGTTAAATTGGAATCCATGTTCCAGCGAATCATTTTGTTCACACTTAACAGTTTATGAGCAAAACAGAAATTGTAGGTTTAAAGAAAGTACTTTTCTTTGAACTTCATGGAAAAGTTAGTTTTGTATTGCAGCTCAGAGTATTACAAATGCTGAATACATTACCTTTTCTTATAATCTCTATTTTTCTTAAGCAAGCTATTATGTGTTGGACAATACTACTACACTGCTGTTTGATTTAAAAGATCAAAGCTCTTCTCTGAAGAGTTTTGATTAACTGTGAAGACTGGCTATGTTCAACACTAATAGGTATACTAAAGTGCTGCCAAGATTAATGTGGAGATGACCTCGTGCCTATTTTCAGAATCGCAGGGGGGCGAATTCTGTCAACAGTGAAGATGCATTTGATAAAAGGCCGAAGCAATGGGGATCCTTTCTGTCAGGCAGTAGAGGAAGTTGTACAAGATTTGGATTTGAAGATTAAAAATATTATCGATTCACAACATGAAGTCTTGACTGCCAGCACCACTGGAGTTAGTCCAACACGGGTAATGGGACTTCTTTTGTTCTTCTTACTATTTAACTTCACAAGAAAGCAAATGTCCTTCTCCTGTTTTGTTTCTTTTTATTTTTAAAAGACTTTTATATAGAACATTATCTTTTCCTGGTCATTTCTTCTGTGCTGTGGTTTTTAAATTCCTGAAAGACTTATACTTAAGGATTACAGTGTGGATTTCAAAAAGATGTTTTATTTAAACTTCCTACATCAAAATTATAAATCAAGTACTCTTCAAAATTTAATTTGTTCTTGCAGCAGTTCTGAATGTAAATACTTCTAACTAATAAATTTCACTGAAATTTAAAGGCAGTAGAGCTATTACGTTTCCAGGCAAAAACAGTGCTAATGAAAGTGTAATTAAGATTTGAGAACATGTCAATAATTTTGATTAAAATACACAGATTTTAATTAGCTCAGAGTCAAGTATTATTAACGGTAAGAAACTTAAAATAAGGTTAAATACCTTATTTTCTGTACTTTGAATCAACTCAGGTTTATATTAGAATATTTTTTTAATGAAGATGTCAACTACCTGTGTTTTATATAATGGTTACTCAAAATGTTGTTTAACATCATGTATTTTTGTCTAGGAAACTTTTTAGAACTTCTGGACTTTTTGATTGTGTGTATATTCTTAGTATGCTTTGTATTGTCAAATCACTGGAATTACCTCACAGTAACAGGATTTCTAACAGATTTTTATCAGACTCCCCAATATGCTTTTGCTTCTTAGTAAGAAATAAAATAGCCAGAGACTAGTGAGTAGTTATATTGGTTTAAATATGTATTTCCACTGAACAGCATCCTCATTTTTCTGTGTTTCCTGAATCTGTCATTTCCCATTTTCCCTTTGGTGTCTTTGTGTTTTTCTCTGTCTGTGTCATCTGAAAAATTGACTGCCATATCATTTTTCTTTGTCTTCACCTGACTACCTGGGTGCTTGATAAATTTTTCTGAAAAAGATTTATGTTGCATGGCTGTTCTGATAAGACTTCATTTCTTCAGAAAGATTTACCAACAATACCAAAAGTGGTTCATGTTTCTTATTGTTCTGCATAGGTCAAGTTTGTAGTCTAATAAGTGTGTAGAAATGTTTACCGGTATCCCTGTAGGGGCAGAAGATAGACGATTGTATCAGATACCAGGAAACATGGAAATACTTAATTCCATTAAGAACAGAATGAAGCTAACATTTTCCCAAAACAGGCAACTGCGGGCAGCTTATAAACTTTATGTTAATGTGAGTCCGTGGTTTTAATGTTGAAATTTTTCCCAATTGTTGGAACAATCTATCTGCTTGTGAATGGGAAGAGTCTGCTATAGCTCTTTGTGAAGAAACTTGAGTATATAACAGAGGATGATGGGCTTTAAGCTAATCTTTTTCACCATACTCATTACAATATATCTGTATGCAACATAGTATAACTGAGAGCTGTCAGAGATGACTGTGGTCTGGATATGACTGGTGTGCTGGTTGGCTTGAGAAATCTAGTATTCTCTCGAAGCATAGACAAAAGTTAAGCTATGATATCAAATTGCAGACTTTATTGGAGCTTTCTCTAGATGGACATTGTACTAGTGTAGATTGCCATTGTTGATTTTGAAAATGAAAAATTTCCGTAAGTTTTCCAAATGAATTTGAGCCATATAGGAAAACTGGAATATCTGTATTGTTTCATTAAGATCTCAGGACAGCAAAGATTAATACTCTGTGCTGAGCTTTGTATATACCGTTTTGTTTTGTTTAACAAGAATGTTACAATTTTCACAAAACTCATTCTGTATTCAGAATAAGTTCTTTTTTTGACTGGGTATTTTTTTGTATATCAGAGGTTGACTTACTACTTTGAGAACAAATTACATCAGTGCTCAGTTTTCCTGCATATATCTGTTTTATAAGAACGCAGAGCTATAGAAAAAGTCAGTATTTCATGCAGAACGAAGCACAACTTTGTGTTGAAGCCTTCACAAGTGACTAATAGGAATTGTGATTAATTTCTTCCTGAAAAACTCACTGCTGCAAATGGAATCCAGTTGGCATTTCTGGAACTAGACAGAATAGTCTGAAGTAGATAACTGTTACTACCCTTGAAAGATGAATAATAATTTTATTGAAAAATATTTTGAACCATGATTTTTAATAACAAACAAGATTTTTGTGGCAGAGGATGTTGTTTTGCCTAAAGTTCTATTGTATTTGGACAATTGAATTTTAGTCCATGGTAAGTATACCAAGCTATTGTTGTAGTACAACGTGAGATTTTTGAAGGTCATCATTTGGCAGTTAGGAGGTTATGCTATACTCTCAAGATTATTATTATATTTTCTTTGTGTATAATCAGTCAAGCTGATTCCAAACTCATACTTTTTTATTAAGACAAATTTACCATGACACTCATGACATTTTATAAAAATCTGTGATGTGGTGATGTAATGAAGAAGTTCAGAATAAATTTTGAGGCAATTAAATGTTACTGAAATAAGCCAAATTTGAAAAACCAAGTATAACAACCATTTCTGTAATTGCTATTTCTAGCTATTGATTATAACTTATAGTAACTGACTGACATGTGTTGCTATGGTTTCTTGAAAGCTACATACATAATTGATGTAATCAAATAGGCAGAGAAATAGAATTTGATCTTTCCAAGACTGTGTTTAAAAGCAGTTAACTGATTAGATAAATGCAGTTTGTTGCCTGTCCTGTCCTGAACAAAGTCAGGCTACTATATATTTCTGTGTATTGGTAAATAAGAAAGCCAGTAGTTTTTAAAACCTACTACTGTGTATTTAGCACTAAATTTCCTTACAGAACTCCTAGAAATTTTAAAGAGAAATGCTGCAAACTTGCAATTCTTGCAGTCCCATTGTGGCTATGAAGTTCTATATCTACTGGCTGTAGTGTTGAACATTTCCAGATGTGGATTATTATTTTCTTTAAGGATTTCTTGATTCTTGTGGAAAACTGAGGAATTCATTCTGTTCCAAACAATAGGGGATTGTGCCTCTTGTCAAATCTTGGTGGAAATCTCACTTTTAACCAACTACTTTTGCAGATTCAGTTACAGGAGCTGGACTTCTCTAGTAAGTTTGTGTGCCCCACAGCACTCAAATTGGTTGTGAGGAAATAATACATTAATTTCTGCTGTATGGTTTCGTCACAGATTTGAAAATTTGTGTGACATGCTCTTCAGTGTATGCCTCCAGCTGGAAATGACCTAAACTCTAATAGTTGCTTGGGATGAAGGAGAATCTTCCCTGTAGTCAGGTTACTCCATAAATGCTTCCTGGGAAAGGGGAGAAGGAGATCACAGAATCACAGAATCGTCTAGGTTGGAAGAGACCTCCAAGATCACCTAGTCCAACCTCTGACCTAACACTAACCAGACCTCCACTAAAACAGGTCACTAAGCTCTACATCTAAACGTCTTTTAAAGACCTCCAGGCATGGTGACTCCACCACTTCCCTGGGCAGCCTGTTCCAATGCCTAACAACCCTTTCAGTAAAGAAGTTCTTCCTAATATCCAACCTAAACCTCCCCTGGAGCAGCTTTAGCCCATTCCCCCTCGTCCTGTCGCCAGGCACGTGGGAGAATAGACGAACACCCGCCTCGCTCCAGCATCCTTTAATGTACCTGTAGAGAGCAATAAGGTCACCCCTGAGCCTCCTCTTCTCCAGGCTGAACAATCCCAGCTCCCTCAGCCGTTCCTCGTAAGACTTGTTCTCCAGACCCCTCACCAGCTTCATTGCCCTTCTCTGGACTCTCTCGAGCACCTCCATGTCCTTCTTGTAGTGTGGGGCCCAAAACTGAACACAGTACTTGAGGTGCGGCCTCACCAGAGCTGAAAGATTCTCCCGTGTTCTGCTGATACAGGTTACTTTTGGGGCTGATATACTATCTGTGTTTTTTTTTCTTTTCTTTCTTTTTTATTCTTTTTTTTTCTTTTCAATAGTATGATTTCTTTAATTTCATTTACTTTCAGCCAAAGCTGCATTCCATAAACCATGGCACTGTGTATTGTGGCAGAGATACTGTAAAGGTCTTACTAGTTCTTCTGGATGAAGAAGCAGTCAGTGCTCCTACCGAGAACAAAGAATTATTATTATGTGATGATGAAAACTTAAATATGTTTGGAATCATCTCTGTTTTGACACTCTTCAGGTGAGTACTACAAGGTTTTTGTTTGTTTGTTGGAAGAAAAGATCTTACAATGAGTGACCTAATAAAAAACTGACATTACTTACACTAAGCTAGTGACCAAATTGCAGTCTCTTGTGAGGGTAGGTGTGAAAGGTAAGCATTCTTAGAACAGTGTCCAGTTCTTGGAAGTATTCTACCTCCTTGTTATTTTCAGCGTGGTTTTGTAATAATGGACTTTCTGGGCTTTTACTTCTCTGGGCTGCACAAAACCCATGAAGAGTATCCTTTGCAACAAGTCTTCCAAATATTCATCTATATTCTTAAGTTCAAATAATGTGTGTTTGGTAGCTGATTGCATTTATATTCAGTTTGAAGATTCCTCCTTTGTCTAGGTATGGTACAAAAGATTTTTGAATGATATCCTGTTTTCTTCCTACACAGTCATTATTTTGCAGTGAAAATTTTAAAATAGTTAAATAGATTTTCATATCATGACCCACCAGTCACGATAGTTTCACACAAAGCATGTTGAAACAAATTCACATGCATGAAGATTTATTGGTAGGGGCTGTAGCTGATGGAATATGGTACTCTAATGGTGAAATTTATTTTGACGGAAGAATAAAACTGAGAGTGAGAGAAGAATAAAGAAAACTCTCCTCAGTTACCAGCCAGGGTTCCCATACAAGCATCCCCTACCATACAGCAGCTGGTTCCCCAGTAATACTTTTCCCATGATAACTATATTGTTTTCATAAGGACCTCCTAAACCCCACTGCTTATTGTACCTGCTTTTTGATGATACTAGCAGTGACTGGAGCATCTACTCATCAGGGCTGGGGCTACACAGCTGTTAAGCTCTGTGCTTACACATTTTTCGGTCCCTTAGCATTAAAAAAAAAAAAAGAAAAAAAAAGGCAACAATGAAAGAGTATGAAAAGTGGGGAACTAGGAGTGTTTCTTATGCTGGTGGTAATTACGTTCCATGAGAACCCCCTATAGCAACACTATCAGAGTGTGCAGTTGCAAGGTCATGAGGAAAACAGGAAAGGAAGAGAATAACAAGTAATTAGAAAGGAAGAGAATAACAAGAATAACAAATAATGCTACAGAGAAAACTCTGCCCTAGCAGCCTGGGTGAAAAGATGCAGAGTTGTGAGTGGAAAGCAAGCATTAGACTTCCAGATATAAGGCCTTTAGCAATACAGAAGGCAAAGGTCTAAGACACTGTGCAACTCTAGGTTACTGATGTTTTTGTTTGTATGTTTTATATAAGAACTGTATCACCTTTTTCTGTTAGTCCTAAATTGGATGATGGATGATCCTAAATTTAGGACAATTTAAGGGTTCCATTAGATTTATAGTTCCACCTCCTTCACGAAACCAACCAAACAAGCACAGTCTAATAAAATTTAGAAAAAAATAGTTTCATTAATAAAAAGTCTGATTAACCCTGTAATATTTTTTTTTAATATAGAAGGCAGACTGGAACAACATATTTACATATTTTTCACTGCTCAAATACCTAGAGCTGTGTACATTACTATTGCATTAAGGAACATGTTTAAAATAACCAATATTTAAGTCTCTTATTTTTCCATTATTTCTGATTCAGGAAAATTGATCCACATTTTAACATTTAAAGTTGTTTCATTAAATTGATAAACCCTAACTGGGATGTATTTTTATCAAAATAAAAAGAGCTTAATCTGATTTTAGAATAATGCTCAAGGCCCGACTGAATTCTTCTTCCAAATTAATGTTGCTATTATTCAAAGCTAGGTCTTGATTTGTTTTCTTAAACAACTCTTTTTAATTTAAAATGAAATTAAAACCACCTATATCTGAATAAGAGTGCCTACTGAGTACTTTGGTTTCACTTACCACATTTGATTTTTCAGCTAAATTGCCTTTCTTGATTTTTTCTCCAAAAGTTTAAGGCATTTATTTGATTTGAAATCTTCTCCTTATTGGTGTAAGGAGGTGCTGCTATCTGGAAATTTATATTGTGACCTACACAAAATTATTGTGTTTTCCTTAATATTCTCTAGTGGCCAGTTTGCTTTAGATTTTATTTTCCAGTGGGCAGTTTTGTGTAGGTCATTTTAAGAAAACACCACTGCTTTCAGATGAAGGCTGAAATTGAATGAGAGCATCTCATTTTTAAAACTTGAACATTTCAGGATTTTTACTTTCTTTGACTTTTTAATTTAGTTTTAAAATTAAGTTTTTTAATAAACTGTGAGATTAAATTAAATGGGTAGATTTATGTGTCTGTTTTGAAATCCTGATAAAAAACACTATTGCTGAAAAGCAGATATTGTGTGTTGTTTAACTGCTTTGTTGGTTTTATTTAACTGTAAAATATATTTTTGTGATTTTGTGGAATACATGATTATTTCAGAAGTGGAAATGTAAGCAATGATGATACATCCTTGATATTTTGGAACATCCAAACCAAGCTGAAGTTTTTCTTACTTAATGGATCTTTCAGTGTACATCTCAAATATTTTCCCTTCATAAGGACCACATTTCAATCTTCTTGAAAATATTCCTTTTAGGTATGCATTATAGAAGTGCAAATAAAATTCTCTTCTTTTTTGATGTTTTTAGTTTTTATTTTATTTCAAGGCTGCATGCAAGGCAAGTGTGACTAAAGCCAGTCATTATTACTTGCTCATTTTTTTTCTTGCTTTTTTATTTCCTTCTATATAGAGAAGGAAAGTTAACATGTTGACCTGGTTCACAAAGCAACAGATCTCTTGGAAAGTGATTTTGTAGGTTCTGAAAAGGAAGCTCACATATCCATGCAGTGGAGAAGCAGTGATAATTTAACCAACCACTTATCCTGAGGAAGCATCAGGTGTTGGAAAAGTGGGACACTGAGGATTTTGTCGCTATGGGTTACAAGGAGGGCTCATGAGCAGTAAAAACAGAGTAGATGGGAGCTTGCCAAAGCTACATATTTTGGCAATTTAAATGGCAAATATATTGTAAGGGCATCCAGAAATTTTGCACCACAGAAAAATGGAAATAAAAGAAAGTGAACTAAACACTAAATTTTATTTATGGAATAATTAATAGAATAATTGAATAGGATGAGGTAAATAAATTAAATACTGACTTCTTCTGAAACTAAACAACTGTCTTCATATGCACAGGCCTTCCATGAGCTTAAACCGAGAATTATTTACATATGTACAGATTCCTTTTTTTTTTCCAAGAGCAAACAAAAGTCCCTCTTATATGCATCATCTTTTTGCATTTTATACCTCAATTTTTTTCATTAACTTATGTAACTATACATATACATACTAGTACTTAACAAGAAGTGAATATACTTAAGAGTACTTCATACACAGAGGTGTATGGTGAAAAGCATGTAAAAAGGAGGTAAGTTATTCTGGATGTCAGCAATATGCTGCTCAAAGACATGGAAGTAGAATGCTAGGTTGGTAACCCATCAGCAACGTTACCAATAACACTGTTCTTGCAGAGCTATTGTAAATTTACTGCAAAAGGATACCGGAAATTGCAACCGTAGGTTTGATTTCATTATGCAGTCTTTAGTTGTCATGGTACATGTGGTTACTCGGGATGGTGTTCTGCTTCTGAGGAGCTTGCTATGGTAATTATTTTTCTTAACTAATTGCATGCATATGTTCTGAATACTTGCTATCTCTTTTTAATATAGATCTCCAGCACAGTCTGATGGATCTTCCCCAAAACCTCTTAGACAGCGTATTCAGAAATCTATGGATGAAAAAATAATTAAGGTACTTCATAAGAATCATTATGCACAGATGGATACACTCAAATAATAATGCTAACATGAAAAGAATAGTGTTAAAAATCTCAAACACTTGTCTGAAAGGTAGTCCATAGCTAAAGAAGTGATTACCTAATAGTTAGTGGCCTAACTCAAACAGTACTGCAATATTAAAGTGAAATGAAAACATCTAACACTCTGGAAGATAGAGGCTTTAAACTTAAAAATACTTCCTCATGAAGAAGATATCTTAATGGCAATTCGCTGAGTTAGTCTATATTTCTTTATTTAACCACATACATATGTCAGGACTATGGAATTAAAACAGGTTATGTGAAAGCAAAAATAATATTGAACATAAGGACCTGATTTCGGTTTTGAAACAATAATTACTTTTTATTGTATTTTTTTCAGAACATGTTAAAAAAAACAATCCATGCTATTTTGTAGATGAAATTGAGCATTACAACAATATGTTGATATTGTGAGTGTTTGTAATGAAAAGACCAACTTCAGTGTTTCTGAATATTGCAGGCTTTCTAAAATTGCATTTTACATAGTCTCTTTTTCTCAAAATTGTCAAATGTTAATGTTAGGACTTTGGAAAGAGAGCTTGTATCTTCCACAGAATTTCAACAGAGCGCTAAATGTGAAAGTGGTGACTTAGTATTCTTTACAAACTTTATTCTGACAACAGATGAAAGCACAAATATAATTAGTATGTAGGAAGGCAAAAGAGGTTTTATAGGCCATCAGAATTAGTTTTGGAACAGCATAATGAAACATACATCTCTGCCACTGAAGATGAAGGGAATTTTAATGTATTACATGTATCAGAAATAGAAAGTCATTAAAAAGAATTAAAATGAAAAGTACTGTCAATATTTCCAGCATGTGTTTTAAGCATACTCCAATTCCATACAGACTGTGTTTTTTTTAGAGGGGTAAATAGGAGGACGGGTGGTTTGGGTACATGCACTAATTAAGGTGAAATTTAGCTTAAAACTAGTAGGATAACATTTGAAAAGACTGGAGCTGATAAAAAAAAATCTTCATGATAATTTTGCTATAAATAGCATATTTAAATTGCAGCTTTATTCATCAAATAGCAAAAAAATGTGATACTCTGTTTGCATAACGCATTGAAATAATTTTCTCATCTAAACAGAGGTGTTGTAATTCGATTCATGAACAGCTCTATTCAACATCCAAAATATCTACAATTAATTTATCACGATTTACTGGAAACATACAAAGTTTTTTATACAAATTGTCAAAAATAATGAGACTTGAGATTGATTCATATTATGAAATCATTTTTACTTTTTTGAAAAATATGTTTTTGCTAATCAAAAACATGAGATTAGCTACCATGGAGAATTGCTGTGCAAATAATTGTTCTCATCAAAAGTCTCTGATATGACAATCTCTTGTGCTGCTTTTGCAATGCCTGATCCTAACAAGTTTGCTGTGACTCCTATGCCCCTTGTTAACGTAGTACAAGAGTCTATTTTTCTCTAGGACTTTTGTCTTAGCCTTGATTTCACCATGACACTGAATATGCCTGTAGCAATAGAATTAAGCATCTAGTGTTTTTAGCCGATAATTTTTGAGGTCTTTCAATCCACTTCTAAATCCAATTTTGACACTCATAAGGTGCCTATTATAAATGGGGAAGACTATATTGAAATATAAACCTTTATCTTATAAGATCTGTTATCTTAAGAAAAGCAAAATTAAGAGGGAACAAGCGACGGGTCTAAAGTCTATGGTTTGCCCTTCTAGACTTTCTTTGGTGTCTTGGACTGTAAAGTTTGCTTATAGTGTTACCTTTTGTAGATTAAATATGTGATGGTTGACACTCTTTACATACTTTAGCAATGTGGATGATAAGGTGTGTGTTACTATTGTTAACATAAATGGCCACTTGGATCTACAAAACTAAAGTGTTTCAGAGCAACATTGGGGCTGCTAAACTGACTCTAGTAATTATAAGCATTTTTCATGGCTTTCTTCTAATGTATCACTATTGTATGAAAAAGAAAATGTACAGCTTGGAACTGAGGCCAAATATCTCACAATGTTTTTCCATATTAAAAAAGTGAAAATAAAAATCATACAGTTCAAAATGTAAATAGTCTGTAAATATGTATGAGTGTAGACTCAAATTCTTACTCTATTTGTGATACCTGAATGTTTCACATTGTTTGCAATTCCCTTTTCTGTGTATCAGCCAAACATTGCCATCCAAACTACATTGTATGCTTGCGAAGTCTACAGTTATTCTCCTGCTATTCTTATGCTCACTTCAGGCTTACTTCTTGCAGTCAACTGAAATTACTGTTGCCAAAACATCTACTGACTTTTCTAACTGAAACTCAGAGATAGTTCACTGCCCTTTGTCATTGATCCCCATCCTCTCACAGAAAATCCTGCTTTCCTTCTTGAAACTTTATTCATCTTTTATTTTGTCTTTTCCTGCTTGTCTTTTTACCATTCTAACATTTTTACAGGGTTTCTTCTGCATGTTTTTTCTCCTTTCTTTTCTTCCTTTTATTGTGAAGACTTACAGGATCCTGTCTTTCCCTTTTCTCTTTCTGTACCTTCTTTGTGGAATAATGTATCTACAAACAGAAGTTCAAGTATCATCCTGTTCATAAATCTACACTTAATCTAAGTATATCTTTTGTCAAAACTAAAGATTTTGTAACTTTTTCTATAGCGTCCTGTGAATCAACACCTGTTGATGTTGAAGTGGTATGTCTGTTTGTCTTCATATATTTAACATTGGGGACAGTATCCTTTCTATTACTTTTTTTGTGCCCTAACAGCTCTGGAATGTATTCATTCATAAGCTCTATCCATACGTCCAGTCAGCTATAATATATTAAAAATTCATCTTGCTTTTTGACCACGGTGGTATATTTTTCTTGGAATTGATAGATGCAGCTTTGGCTTGTCTTCACTGAGATTGACAAATGAACAAAGTGGCTAGATGCTAAATGCCATTCTTCTGTTTGTGTATCAGTCTATTTCTTTAAGTTGTAGTAGATACAAGCTACTTGTTTTAACCCATCCCAGCCACATTGATTATTTCTGATTTGCTGCCCCGAGATATCTGTTCTTACTTACATTCAGCCTACAATACTAGTTTTCACTGTTGGTTTGTTAATTTTGAGACTAGCTCTTCCAGCTGTCTTGTTTTATATTTTTTCTTATGGCTGAAGAGATTTCCTGTGGATATCTGCAAAACTCATTATCCTCATTTAAAGTTTTTTTAGTACCTTTAAATCAGCCTCTCCTCAATACTTAGCAGTTTTATGTATTGAGATGGATGCCTATTACAGTGACTAATTTGGGTTCCTTTCCTTATGAATCCATATATTTCTTGTCTTAGATTGTAATGTCTCTTGGTAGAAATAATTTTTGTTCTGTCTTTACTGTGCAGCACATAACACAATACGTTCCTTGTCCATAACCACAGATTTCAAGTGTTGTCGTAGTATTTATCACCTTTTTATGCTGAAAGTCAGTTTTCATAATTATTTCATACAACTGTCTGAGAATGCACGTTGCTTGTAAAATTCACACTTCCAAATTTTATTATGTATGGTGCACTAATTTTAACAATTGACTCAGAAGAGATGCAGTACATGTATTCTGAATAAGGAAAGTAGAAACATGATGTTTCTTCTAGTTGTTAGTGATTCTTTCGAGAAATTTCTTATTGAGTGTATGTGATGGTAGTGTTTGTTCCATAAAATTGTCCTAAGGACCCTTTTTCCAGACTGCCTCTGGCATGTGATTAAATTGCTAGTCTACTAACTGTAGGATTTGTCCCATAGAAATCTCTTTTTCCGTGATATATGAGAGAGGAAGAAAAATGCAGTAGTGAGTACCCAGAATGGTAGAAAAACACAGTAGCTTGGTTCTGTGCTGAGTCCCATCAAGAAGCATGTGTTGAATAAAGAAGTTTAGGAAAAACTAGTAAATGAAGGAAGAAAGGGACACTTCACTAAATTAAAAAAAAATATATATAAAAAATAAAAATTATACCCTGTCCTTCTATAAGAGGAAGTGATTTCTCACATCTGCAGAATTACGTGGAGAACTGCAGATCGATACTATTTAAACCTATGGCATAATATCATGAACATATTTTTAGTATCTAAAAATGTGGAGAGTGGAAAAATAAACAGGTAGCTATGAATTGGAATTTGTATTTAAAAATAAGATAAACCTATGATTTTTTCCATTGTACCAAAACCAATTCCTGGCAACAATGAAAGAAACAAGGAAATATTTCATCTTGGAATCATTAAATACTGGAACAGATGCAAAAAGCTTACCTAACTATATGGGCATTTGTATGCCACCACTTTGTCCTTTGAAGAAGGAGAAATTTGGGGAATTAGTGTGTTGTACCTTTTCATTCCCTCCAGCAGAAGTAAGAAAGAGAAATAATAAGAAACTCAATCCTCTCATAGGATGATGAAATTAAGAAATCAGTTGTGTTTCAAGGTTGCTATCCGTTGTTAAATGGAAGTGTCTTAATGGGGAATGGTGTATTGTGGAAGGAGTTATACTTTCATTAATGTAAAACCCCATTATTTGATTATTGATTTTGCTGAACACAATGGGTTATGCAAGCAGCACTTACTGTTGTGTGAGAGGAATGGAATGACTGTCATAATCATCTCCTTTAATTAGGTTAAAGATCAACTTGAGGCAATAAACAGGTTGCATAATAAAGATTTTAGTCTTTCTTTTGCACCTGAAAAGATTAACTGGAGTTTCAAGCTGTAGGGAAAGTATTATAATAGAGCTAATGAGGTTAGGTGAAGCTGAGAACACTAGCAGTTAAGAAGGAAGGAATTAAAACATATTAGGCTGTGAGTATATAATATGTGAGAGTAACTTTATTTTATTTTATTTTATTTTATTTTATTTTATTTTATTTTATTTTATTTTATTTTATTTTATTTTTTAACTCAGGATTGTTTTGGC